TGGCTACAGCTCTGGCCCTCGCTAGCACGCCTGACAGCAGCGCTGTCACTCCGACAACAGCAAGCCAGGTAGGATTTATTTACACTTGGAGAAATATACTCAGACACCTGCGTAGTTCTTAAAACCACCGAACCAGGAAGAATTTAGATTAAAATATGGCACATCAAAGATATTTGTATATTTTATAAACATGATTCCCTGCTGCTGCATCTCGACTCTCTTTCATTTTTTTTCTCCATCCTGCTGTCTTTGATTAAGACGGACCCCTCCAGTGGCGTAGCCCCCATGCCAGCAGGGACCCCGGTCAGTAATGATCTCTTCAGCCAGGCGCTGCAGCAAGCTCTGCAAGCCACCAACATGTCTGCTCTACAGGTGAGCCAGCCGATGAAATCCTATTCTTTTCATGAAGGGGATAATAATATTTAAAATGCTTTTCGGCCGTTTTATCCTCTGTGGGTATCAGCATCAGGTGTACGCTGCGGTTTGTATTGTTCAGACTGCTCGGTCTTTACATAAAAGACTGCTCTTTGAATGTGGCTTTGTTTTGCCAGGGCCGCTGGCAGTCCCAGATGCAGCAGCTCAGGGACATGGGGATCCAGGATGAGGAGCTGATGCTGAGGGCGCTGCAGGCCACAGATGGTGACATCCAGGCTGCCCTGGAGCTCATATTTGCTGGAGGCCCAGGACTCTGAGTCCAAACCCCACGGACAAAGCCTTTTATAGAGGAGAGAGCAGGAAAAATCTGGTCACGCTGCTGCTCAGGAGGGATAAGCAAATTCGGACTCACAGTGCAGTGTTCTTATTGCTCCTCCGTTTAACGTGAAATATACTGTACTTACAGAACACTTTCAGCTGACCTCCACTGGACTTGACAACCTGCAGCTTTTTCTTATTAATGTGACAAAACGTGTAATAAATGTAATCATGTTTAAATCATGTGTCTCTGCTCAGATTTTAAATTTCTTGCTCGCTTCTTATTTGTGCATGAATCTACAACATCATTTTATTGGGTTGCAGCATTAAAATATGTCATATCATTAGTAATTTTGAGTTTTTAAAGGTTTTCAAGAGCCTTGATAAGCAAACAAAGACCTCGGCATTATGAAGTCTTGCATTTCATTTATAAAGGCCTTGAGTGTTATTTTTCCTTCCCTGCTAAAGACACTAACGTCAGTAGAGTTGCTATGAAATTAATCAACTCTTAATGGGCAAATATTGATTTTTGCAACAGCTTACATTAACAAATGAATTATGGTTAAACTGTTTTCTTCCACTTAACTGACTGGACTGGAGTGAAGACGGATTACTAAACAACAGACCCCTGGCCGTACATAAATAAAAGCTTCCACAGCTCCTATGGAGGAGATGTTTTCAGGTTCTTTTTAGACACTTTGTGGTCATTTATTGTTGCAAATAAACATCATTAATTTTGCCATCAATTTAATAGTCAGCACTGCAGAGAGCCTGTTTAACGCTCCAACAACAAACCAGCATTTACGTGTCCTGCACAGCTGATGTAATCCTCCTGTTTGCACACTAGATGGCACTGCAGTAGTATTTTAGTTTCCACGAAGACACGACCGATTATCATCGTAGGACACAAACTGCTTCTTTATGTGTTTTTCTTCCTTTTGCAAATTAAAATTCGTGTTCTTTACCTCAGCCAGTCGAGGCTGCACGCCATGAGTCTGGCTCTGTCGGAGGTTTCTTCCTTTTTAAAGAGAGTTTTTTTTTTCCTCCCCTGTGCTTGTTCAAGAGGGAATTATTGGGCTTCTCTCCAGGATATAATATTGTAAGGTCTTGACCTTACTACACAAAGTGTTCTGAGCTTACATGTGTTAGGATTCGGTGCAGAAGATTATCTCTTGAACATTTCTGGGTTTGTGTTGTGCTTTCATTATTCAAAGACAAAATTACGCTCAGACAGGCGGCAACATAAAAGAAGAAGTTGCACTGATAGCTTTATTAACACCCTCTGAAATGTTGCTTTGCTTGTCAGAGCATTGTTACCATTAGCTGAGCCCTCTTTTTTTTTTTTTTTTTTCTCCCCTCCCCAGCCTTATTACACACGAATACATTTGCTTTGTCTTGTTGTCTCCCATCAGGGTATTTTAGGGGAACACATATTGCCTGCAGCCCCCCTCCTCCACCCCTCCACGCTACCTACTGTCCTCCATCTACAGTAATTGCCCTGCTTAGTTTTATTACTGCATCTGTGAATGTGACAGCTCAATCAGCGGATTGGCCTTTCATGAGCACAGCACCCAAACAGCGCTTTGTGTCCGTCTGTCCCCATTACCGTTTTATATGCATGCACACCTGCGGGCAATTTCCACCTCCAACAGCCTCCAAGGGTATTTTAAAAATAAAGCATTTCCATTGTGCTGAAGGAAACGGTGTCACGGCGTCGGCAGAACAATTGTGACTAAAAGTGTCGTTGCCTTTTCTGGCAAATTAAAAAGGAGACAGTTGTGGCTGGTTAGAAAAAAAAAATAGTGTAATTTGAAACCAAGCAGGAAAAATGCAGACTTGGTTTTTAGCTCTTGTACTGAGCTACTGAGTGAAATCAGATGTAATGTTTGCTGCAGCCTGCACTCAGCGGACTGTGTCGCATTTGCTGTTTTGAGTGCATAAGCCACTAGCTTTCATATTATTCTAAACAATTTACTGGGGCAAATCACCATATGAAGTTGTCATGGAGACGCTCGATGGTGTGAGAACGCATATGGTGGAGTGAAGATGCTATTAAACGCCATATTTAGATCCTTTTATTGTAAGCTGTGCAGTATTGACTATATGTAATCTCAGGCTTTACAGTGGAAGATATGGACTGTTTGCACCTGTCGACTCTTTGTTGACGTCTCTACGTAGGTGGAGAGATCTACTGAGATCTATATTGATATAGAAGTCCTTGGTAAAAGAGCCACATTCTTGTACAAGTTTCTTCGACTCCCCGTGTTTGTTCTAGTCATTTCTCACCACAATGATGCGGCGGCGGATGCATAACTGCGAGAAACCACTTCTGAGCAGAGACGCAACAACGGCTCAAACAACTGGAAAGGCCTTCCTAATGAATGTAGCCTGGTGCTTTGAAGCTGCCACAAATCCGCCCAATTACTCCCGACGGTGACCCAAGATTCAGGTAATGAGCAGGGTTCCGCACCACGCCATTACGGGGCAATATATTAAGCCAATAGGAATCATCAATCCGAGGCCCTTTTGAAACGGTGTAAGAGCTCGTCTAATCAAGCCTTTACAGACGAGCAGAACAATAGCAACACTATTCCCCTGAGATGAAATCCTCCAAAGTACCGGAGCAGGAGGGAAAGGAGAGAGTTGGTATAATGCTCTCCATCCGCTTTTGTCTTTCTGAATGGAAGCAACTCACGTGTTATTAACATAAGGTCTGTTACCTGAGATTGCTTTCTGCCCGGCGTGACTGAGCGGAATATGAAATGAGCTTCTGATGGACACGAGGCCATTTCATCCCCTAGTGGCCCATTCATTGCTTTCAAGCCATGCTTTTATTCTTTCCCCTTCTTTTTCCAGCCCTCTCTTTTTTTTTTGTCCACAAAAGCTTCTTTGATGCATTTCATCCCAGGTGCTTTAACCCTTGATGGAGCTTTGCGTCAAGGAGAACCACAGCTGCAGCCGAGGGAGAGGCAAAGATCAGGCAGGGACCACTGAGAGAGGCGGAAAGGAAACTTGAAATAGCACCGTCACTTCAAGTTGTGATTGAGTTGTGTGAGGTAAAGAAATCTACCGCTGAATCTCAAATGAGAGCGTGTAACAACTTCTCACGTCTCTGTTTTTGGGATTTTTGTGGAGACGATTTTCAAATCAAAATCTTGAAGCCATGAAATCGTTCAAAAACACATTTTAGTCACCACATAAAAACATTCACATGCAGTCAGATGAGCCAGTAGCCATGAACTCTTGTCTTTCTGTCATTTACCGCAAAAGCCAAGCTCGAGGTGTGCGCATTACAGATTCTGTCTGCTATCAGACGACTCGAGAGGCTGTGAATGTTCAATGTTTCCTTTCATCAGCCCCCTGCCTGTGCTCTTCCTGAATGCCTGCCAGTTGTTTTGTGGCCAAAATGTGCTCCGTAAAAACTGTTTCTGCACTCACAATGCAACAGTTCTGAAAGCGATTTTAGGGTAAGGGATTAGGGATTTCACTCTTCCAATTGCCTTCAAAAGCGCTGAGTGATGGACTGAGCATGTGTGTTACCTGTTATGCTGCAAAACCGTAGAAAAGCAGGAAAAAAAATACAACAATCAACTAGATCTTTTGTTGTTGTAATAAATGGCAGCATAAACCAGACAGCGTACATGCAAAACTTAAAAATTGGTTTATAGACGAGTATACATGTCAACAAATATTGAAATAAGCATAATTTTTTTTTTCTCTCACCAAGCTATAATTAGCACCAAATTCAGTGTTTTCTCAGTAATCGTCTTCAGTAATTATATTTCACAGACTCTAGTGTAACTCAACACTCTGTCTCCTGATGGCTGACCAATAAATGTCCCCTCAATCTGTTACTTGAGGCAAAGAAGCTCCTCAAATGCCAGGAATCATATATGATTTACACTTCATTAAATCTACAGCTGCTACTTTATAGCAGTAATTATGAGATAACCGTGAGAAATACTGTCAGTTTCATACAAATCAAGCCAATGCTGGTGGGACGACCAACGGAGTGAAAAAAATAAATAAAAATAATTACAGGACTGTGCTACAAAGTGGATCGATGGAGAACAACAAGTGCTGGAGTGCTGGCCTGATAATAGCTCCAGTATTCTGTCCTTAACTCAAACAATGGTCGCTCTTCAGTTCTTATTGAAGGGCTTCACCATGGTAACGGCAGAGATACTGGAAAGGGGGCTTTTGTCCTCCGAAATAACTGTGTTTGCTCTATTGTGGTGGATCAGTGTAAAACAACAGGAACAACAAAAAAAAAAAAAACGGGGTGATGAAAAATATCAAATCACACGTTAAACTCATAAACCCAACTTTATTTATTTTGAACCTTGATGCCTCTATGTCCCCATTACAATACATTCAGTATATACATTTGGCCATGAGGGACTGTACAGAGATATGTTATAGTAGTGCATACATATGTGGCACGAAAATGTACACAAAGGAGACTCATACATGCCACTCTACCACGGTAAAGTGATACACAAGATACACTCGGGGCAAGTCAATGGCTGATGGCTGCTTACACCAGTATACGCACACACACACACTCACACACCCAACAAACGCTGCTTCATGCACACACACAAGCTTTAAGACACTTCTGAGGGAGGAGAAGGGCTCTATCAGGCTGTCATTAGAGAAATATACGAATGTGAAGAGTGCGTCTGCTGATTGCAGCGAATCCCCTCCCACGTCCCTTCCCTCCCCGTAATTCTTCACCCTCCATCCCTCCTGTTTTCCCTTTTCTCCAAAGCTAAGGCCTCTCTTCTCTCGGCAGTGCGGCCATCACACACACACACACAGGCTCCTCCCCTCTAGTAGAGTCATGCTCAGCAGCAGCAGTAACTAAATAAAGAGCCTCTACCGTCGACGTCGGATCTATTCAACGGTGAACATTCGTAACATAAAGGATAAAGTTTATTTTAACTCTGCATTTCTTCTTAGGATATCTTCTCTCAAAGGAAATACATAGGTCCACTTCGACAACATACTATTCCTCAATAAAGCTGCGGATGCCGTGAAGAGACACCCTCATGTGACATATTGATCATCCGTCTACTCACTTACTGCACCGGCAAAATAAACTTCTGAATACATCCCACTTTCTGGAAACTAGTTTTTTTTCTTCTACTAATTATGTCACTCTGCTGATTACATTTCCTCCTGGTGGACGTTTTTTTTTGTACCATCACATTTGTCATAAACATTTGTTGGAGGCACACACTCCTATCATTTTCCCTTCAATCACTGCAGTTTATGGTTGCATAGCACACAGCGGAGATACAGTCAAAGCCACAATGTGTTTGACTCTGTATATACAGTGGTCATGCTCGCTAAAGCCACTTGCTAATTCTTAGTATCAGTCTTTTTTTTTTTTTTAGCTTGGGCCAAAGCCTCCCCCCAACAACATTTTCATTTTTTAGTTTCTCATTAAACCACTGAATTTTGCAACTCGTAAGACTGATGACGGCTTCCTCTGAAGTCTGATCATACATGCATTAGGCGGTCTCATTAGACTCACTTCATGGTGCAGCTACTGTTGGCAAATCAGCTTCTTCTGCCTGTAGTTAGTCAGCAATATTATTCGCCGCAGGCTGAAATATTACTGGCTCTGTTACAATAAACTGCAGGGAGGAGGCCAAAAAAGCAAACATGCCATTCCTATGAGTTGCTAAAATCAAACGTGATCAATGAGGGAATAAAGGAAGAAAGGTGAATTAGTAAGCCGTAGGGAATTTTCGACTTTTTGTAGTTCAAGGGAGAAAAGAAGAAAGCTGACAACCACAGAGGTTCAAGCGTTTAGCCGTCGCCTGGTACCAGCGGGGTTAAAAAAAAAAACACTGGGACACACACATTCCCATGTGCATACAAATATCGTACACGTGAACATGTTGGACACATGCATACTCTCTCGCGTTCACACATGTATGGACATTTGGAGATTTTAAAGCGAAATGGAAGCATGACAGTTTGAAGGCGGGCGTTTATCTGGTTTGGACAGGCGGCACTGTGATCGATGTGTTGGAGGCGGGAGGTTTGTGTAATCGTCCCTCACACGAGGCCTGACAACCCCGTTGGTCAGGAGGCGCAGTGACTCGTGTCCCGGAGTCGGGCCGTCGAGGCATACGTGCATTTAGCAAAACCGGAAACAACAAAAAAAAATGCAAAGCACCACAGCAAAAAGAGGCCGGAGTAGTCCCAAAAAACACGATCACATCGGCACAGGACGATGAGGGCGAGGGGGGGGCCGACGGGCCAATCACAAAGGAGTAACACATCAGTAATAATTACCCCAGAATAAATTACAGTCACAGAACAATTGTTAAAAGCAGAATTGGAAATCAGCTGATCTAGCGGACTGATTTGACCCATGCATTATAAGGCATTAACCAAACATTTGTTACTGACATCACACAGCATTATAAGAGTAACTATACATACAATTGCTGATCTGAAAAAATCTGCTTGTGTTTTCATTTAAAAAAACAAACAAAAAAATCTCGGATTAACTGTATTCAAAAAGCATATTTCGAAAACCAATGATGCAATTTTAAGGGAATTGGGAATGTCGAAGGGAGAGCAGATCGATGTCTGCAATCCCGTTGTACCTATTGATCTGCAGATGGGCGAATGAAATTGATTTTCTGAGGTAGACAATGCAGGCATATTTCATTCTCCCAATGCAAAGCCATTCTAAGCAGGGGTAGCGGGGGTAATTTGGTCCATTTGGACAGGCTCTGGTCTCTAGCCTCAGCCAATTGTACTGTGTCGGATGGCTTGACCCATCCATCACGCTCTCCTGCCTGTCTCACCACTATGGTACTTACACTGTCATTGGTGTGATACACCCACTCAGTGATGGATAGCAGACAACATGCACTATGACAAGATAGAGAGATCAGCCTGCACAGCTCACAGGCCTGTTGTTTCCGCGCAGCTGGGGACGCACCGTTCATACGCGGCCAGTTTATTCAATATCCTGGCCGCTGTATGGGGCCCACGTGGACCATATCGCTCAACATGCATCATAAATGTTGCTTCCCTTACACGGCTCCTACAATCTTCAAGTCCCCTTTGAAATACATTTACAGCATCAACAGAGCCTAACCAAATGAGAACCTCAAACATACATTTCATACATAATTGTCACGATGTGCACTCGTAGGAAAAAGGGTACAACAGTTCATGATAGAGGTGAATCCCAGTGACGAATGCTGATGTTGTACCTTTCTTTTTCTCTGAGTGTTAAGTGCTATGGGTAATCAGCTCAACAATCAATGAAATGATGCTCTTCAGATAGTCAGTCTCTGATGTAATAAGTGGATGTCTGTCATAAATAAAATAAAATACAATACAATAACAAAAACTTCTGCAACATTGAGTCTGTGTGTGTGTGTGTGTGTATGAGATAGTATGCAGTAGGCCTTCGAAACGGTTTTGGAATCTGTCGGCCAGTGAGGTGAGTCAGGATCAGCAGTTTGGGATGCCACTGTTCGTCTTCCCGTGAGCCTAGCGGGGTCTTGTCCACGGGGACAGGAAGCGTGGAGCCACAGGGTGGCCCGGTGAGTGCTGCAGGGGCGGACGCCTGCAGGGGACCCAGAGCACTATAGTGTCCTGATGGCCACGGGGTAGAGCAGGGACATGTGTTCGGCACCCTTGATGGGCAACTTGCGGCTGGAGTAGAAATGGATAATCTCAGGCACGCTGTCAAAAGGGCAGCTGTTCTGGCCCAGGATGTACTTGCTCTCCTTCGTCCGCGACAGCTTCATGTGCATGAAGCCCTGGCTGCTCCTGGAGACAGAAAAGGACAAAGGAGACAGACGGAGAAATGTTTAGCTCAATTAGAACTAGATTAAGAACGACACGCTCATGTTTAGCAGGTATAATACGTACCATTGTAAGCAACTTAGATCAGCTCGTTAGCGTGGCAGCATTTGTTAATTAGGAACAGTCAGGGGATCAGCAAAGGCTTAACAGTTCATCCTAAAAGGGATTTCATGGCAATTCACCAGACATTTCACTCAGAATCATAAATGTCAGCCTCAGTGCTAATTTATTTAGTCAGTGGTGAAATATTTTACTGGCTGAGTGAAAAATCTGACAATTAGGAGTCACAGTAACTGGAGTTCATCATCTCGGGGATGCTGAGATTTGTGCCAGATTTCGTATCAATCCATCTAATAGTGGGGATATTTCAGTGTGGACCCCAGTGGTGGACCAGAAGATGGGCAGACAGGCAAATATTGCTGTCCCTAGAGCCACGCCACTGCAATGACTAAAAAACTAAACATGTGGCAAACCTTAATGTAGGGAGCTCTCAACAGATCAGCCCTCTTTGACGGCCCCTTTCTCATTTACTGCGGCAGTAGTTGCTCCCTACAGTACGTGACAATGTTCTGAAAGCTGGATTACCTCTGATAACTTTGGAGCTGCCTGGGGAGGAGACTAAAAGGCAGGTTGCTTAAGGTGCTAAGTTTCACATGCAGCGCATAAGGATGAGGCTAATGAACCCCCAGGACAAATCACTTAAGCTACAGCAATAAATGCACAGCAAATTAAAAGCTCCCTGTGTGTTTCTAGGTGCCTTCGATCAATACATTTTACAGCTTGCCAGCAGTTCTTGGCTTTAAAATACTTTTTTTTGGAGTTATGTGATGCAACAGTAAAGCTGGAGCAAGAAACTGATGCAAAACTAATGTTCTCCATAAGCTGCTGTACATGTACTCTGTTGATAATGTGTCCTCACAAAATATATTGGCATAATTGCTTTTTTTAAATTGATCGCTTTGACTCAAATAGTGTGGTCTGTCCTCAACGTAACGTGCAGCAGCTGTTTCCAGCTCACTAAACTCACACGTATTCTATCCTGCATCATAGGATTTTTTCACTAATCTGAAATGTATTCTCTGTTGGCAGAATGCAATTAAACAGATATAAAACCAGGTAAGGAGGGGAGTCACGAATCAGTGATACACCGATCCGATATCTGGGATTGTTCTGATACTGCAAACAGGATATCAGAACAGTCTGTGACAAGGGGCTGGATCTATTCAATCATTTCTATGTATGTCTACGTCCATGTGCACGTACCATGTCATGTGTCAGCGGTGCGCCAGTAGACCCACACATTTAACACCATGGCATGGAGAGCAACAAAGAGTCAATAGCTTGAAGGCGTTTTATTTCTTGCTACAGTAACAAGTTCTACGGCTACTTGCAATGTCTGCAAGGTCAGTGTTTTCAGAGGTGGCCGTAGGACTACAAAATAAAATAAAATCACTGTCATCTAGCACCGCTAGGAACAACGAGCTGCAAGGTGTGGTCATTTTACAGATTCTTTACTAAGTTGCTGGTGTGCAGTTTTGTATTGAAAATAAATAAGTAGCTCAGTAAATGTATGTATTTGTTACTTTTTGTTTTAGGAGACCAGTGTTTACCTTCAGCCTCCTGCTGCCTTTTGTTGCCTGGTATGAAAATCAGTACTGGGACTGAAAAAGTTGGACAGGTGCATCCATAAGAATAATGCTTCTACGCTGGCAGAAGGGCAACTAAGATAAAAAATGACTATTTTTCATGAACCCATCAAGTGAGCAGAGTGGTGGACCCATTTACTAATGCGGCCAGTCAGTGCTATCTGCACTTTGCATTCAGTGTGTATGGAGTTTTTTTGGGGGGGTATATTTCTCATGAGGACTGCGAGCATGCAGATAAGTGTATACAAGGTGTTAAGTAGCAGAGATATTATTTATTCTATCAACAAAACTAGGATGTGGGTATACTATTCTGACAGAGACAGACATGAGCACACACACACACGTTTCTGTTTTGATAAGCTACTATGAATGCACAGCGGTCAAGGCTGTTGATGAGGTTTACAACCTCTGTGGCACGGATTTGTTTCTATTCCTGATTACTGTACGGGTCCATAAATAGTCACGCAGACAAATGAAGCGACTCAAATGAACAAAACACACATATTTTTTTAAGCTTGTGAATATATTCCCACTGTAAAAATATGCACATATTTGTAGTTATGCCCATTATCGGCGATGAACAGGAGCGAGAACTTGGCTTTAGGCACCTTAAGGCAAGTCCATTCTTTACTTATCTCCTAATTGCATGTGTAAAGCTGGCAAATGTGTTCGCTCCCTCATGCACGGAGAGAAACCAGAACAAAGATAACACTGAGAAGAAGAAGAAGAAAAAAGAGAAGCAAAGAATGTACAGGGTTCAATTTAGGGACATCTACCCAGAATAAGAATGCATTTAAACTAAGAGATTAGTCATTATTTCAGCAGATGAAACCAATGCTGCTTTTATGGGAAGTGTGATTGTTATTTTTAGAGATAAGAGCGATAACGTGAAGTTGTGGAATCCTTTGCACTTTACACGGCTTCTGGTGGAGAACATTTCAAATATTTCACAGCTAACACCCCTTTTTTAAATAGATGAGCTGAGGTAGAAAGCTTCAGGCTTGCCGAGCTATAAAACTAAAGTAAACACAACTATCAGACTTCTCTATTACTGTGCCTCTGGCCTTGGTATTTGAGCGTGTCATTAAAAAGTTCATCGGGTTTTAAGCAGAGCAGGACAAATTTCCCTTGCCACAGGTCTCCATAATTCTATAATTCCTGCAAATGGCGCCGGGAGAGCTTCTTTTAAAGAATCTTCCCTGCAAAGTGCATTTGATGAATCTTCACGTGGAGCGCTGGGACGAGGGCGTCGGGTTACACAGAGCCACACTTAAAAAGGCAAACACATCAATAGCATCATTTTTAGATTCCCAGCTGATTTTCCAGTCGGTGTTCAGGGCTGCTTATCATGTTACGGTCCTGCAGAGACAGAAACCAGGACGACAGAGCAGCACGGCGCAGTTGTTGATAGAATGACTATGGGGCTGTTTTTGAGACGACGGGCCTTGGCGGTGTTATCATATCCCTGTTCGTGGACTTGTATTTGTCTAATCAGGATTAATCTCACCGGGGAGGTCTGCTGTCTTGTTTATTGAGGTTTATGACTTTGATTTGAACCCGGTAGGACTCGAAGCAGGAACAGCCTGACAGCAATCACAGCTTATCTCCACCTTCAACATATTGGATCGCGTCATGAATGATGCTCTCAGTGTTACGAATCTATGGCACCAGAAAAGGCAGAGTCAGCCGACAAAAAGATAACGATCTTTGGCAGAAGCGATGACCTTTTTAAGCATTGCTGGGCATCAGATATTGTGGGACGCCATTATTTCATATGAGCACAAATTGAATGAGCGTACCTGGGATGATACCCACCAATCTGTAACTCATGATATATTAAAAACAGCGCAGTGTGTGGAGTAAAGCAGGGTATCAAGTTTATAATCCAATCTAGCTGATGGATACATACATATTTGTCTTTGGCTTGTATTTGTTATTAAGTCAGGTCAGTGTTAGTTTTGTCCTCCTGACAGTGATTGCTCTCATCTGTGCCCCATTAAAGGACAACAAGCCTTTGGAAGAGGAGCTGAATTGCAGATGCAAAGACCTTTTGGTGTGTTCTTTCAATCAACTATTTAGTTTCCCTATGTCTGCACTCTGGTGTCAAACAGATTCTTTCGGATAGATTTTCTTCTTTCTCTAACAATTTCTGCGCTCAGCCTGTGGAAACATGCTGTGCAGAGCTCTCTCGTGAGGCGAGAAACAGGATGACACTGCGCTCTGAGAGACTCCTGAAGGGTTTAATATGTTTCAAACTCCTAAAAGGATTTCTCTCCACTGAGACAAAAAAGGGAGAGAAAAAGCATGGTGGGGGAGCCAGGTGTATAGAAGAAAGGGGTGAGGAGGGCAAAACAGAAAATGCTTTCCGTCAGGCCGGAGGACTCTTGAGGCTGGAGGTCTCTGCGACGCCCCGTCTCCATCAATAATGCAATACACATACGTGCCACCTCATGGCCTCATACATTTTTCAGCAACCTCAGACATGGAAGATCTTCACCTTGGGTTTCCACTCATTTTGTGTGGCAGCGGGGGAGACGGGTTTGTGTGAGGAGGCTGAACTCTGCCTGCAGTGTGGTGGCACCTGTCATTACCACAATCAGCCCGCTGATCGTTTTCTAGGCTTGATCTGACTGACGCCGAGGGCAGGAGATGATGTTCTGTAAAACCCAGGAGCCGACTCACTTAAATATACACGGGAGCGTCTAACACTCACACAAACACACGCACAAGCAGAAACCGTGAAGCCACATTTTTTATGCAAATGATTTCCCTTTTTTAAAAAAAAAAATTTTTGCCGCAGGTGTTTTCCCTGGCAGCTCTTTAGCTGGTAAACACAGTAAACTGTGAACAATTTGTTGTTGTTTAAAATATACATCTGACCAATCCAAAAAAAAGAAAAGAAAGAAAGACGAGAAAATATCCGACTTTAACTCAGTGTGCAGCAGGTAGTTTGCTCGATGCTAAAACTTAACTGTCACCTAGGGTCCATTCTTCATCTCTTCATCAAAGATACGAGGTGTGTCAGAAAAGTTCCAGGACTGGTGTCACATAATATATATTTCAAACCCAAACTACAAACTATGAGTTCTCCCCTTCAGACGATCAACCAGCACGTCTACAAAGAGATCCTGCGGTGTTTGCTTCGTTCAGTGCGTGAGAAGAGACGAGAGTTGTGGCAGGACAAGTCGTGGCTGCTTCACCATAACAACACGCCTCCTCACAATGTCCTGAGCATCCCACAGTTCCTGGCTGAGACGAACATCGCCGTGCTGGAGCAACCTCCCTACTCACCCCACCTGGTTCTGTGGGATTTCTTCCTCTTCCCCAAGCTCAAGGGGTCATCAAGGGGACCCGTTTTGTAGTTTGGATTTAAAATATATCTTTTGTGACACCAGTCCTGAAATCTTTCTGGCACACCTCGTAGGCTCATCAACTGTAACAGTGTAGATAAACAGTGGAAACCACAGTCTGCCCACTGTATAAGCAAACCAAATTTGCTTAGGACCCTCAGGACACCCCTCAATCTCATTCTGCTTAAGGCCAAAAAGGCGTTTAGGGATTGGCCCTGGAGCCAACTACCAAACAGAGAGAGAAACAGCATTTCTGTTAGCTAAAGGTCCAGGCCATCTTATGCTACAGTTCTCACAGAGATCAAACAGCTTAGAGGCACAGGCACTAATGTAACGTAGCCTTTCTCCTCATTCTCCACTCAGTGTGACAAACAGCTATTATGGGGCGCTGCAGAAGTCATCCAGCGACTCGCACTTGGTTGCTAAAAACAGCAACCTTCGGAGCCAGGAGATCAGAAGATGGCCAACTGCTGCACATTACCAAGACACTTCACTAACTGTACTCCCTCTATCATTTGCTCTAATAGTGCAGCCCATTATTGAGGGTCATCCGCACATCATTTAGATGTGGATTAGAGTAATGAGACCATTACTGAAGTAGAAGGTTAAAACACGTTTTAACCTCACACTCAATCAAAACTTTTCTTATCATTTCCTGGTTGAGTTCAATGAGGACAAAAAAAAAAAAAAACCTCAGCCACATAAGTTTGAACACTTTTTCCAGTGCCCCCAGGTCTTTCTCCCTGAAAACTTAATTCATTCACATAATCTAGCAATCAGCCATTTCATTCAGGGGGGGGTAAAACCTCCAGCATTAGGTAATCTCCTTTCCACCGTAACAGAGAGACGAATGGATTAATTCTCTCCAGCTTCACAAAAAATATCACTGTAGGTTCATGTTCCAGAATTGGCTTGGTGCTTATTAGAGGTGCATTCATCACATTCATTCCCTACATTATTACTCCCTGTATCACCATCATCTACAGCCAAAACTTTTTTCTTTCTTTCCTTCTTTCTTTCTTTCTTTCTTTCCTCATCTACACTGGAGACGAGTCTGCTCTGGAGTCTTCCATGCCTGCTTATCATTTAACTCTCCACCATATGTTCTGGTCTTTGTACTTTCCAGCTGTTGATATGTATCCTCTGTTAATGTCCCTATCCCTGTTTGCCTTTTTGAGTACTAAATAATGTATTTCTTTCTACACTATTTGAATTGATATTACAGCATTTATATTCCCTCCAGCAAACAAGAAATCGCTATTAGCCTTGAACTCGTTTTAACTTCACATTTGATTATTTTCTGTGGCAGCCTTTTTTCTCCTTTTCCGTACTGCCTTTAGGAAAAACACTATGTAACATACAGGCTTAACTGTTCACACATCTGTTTTTAGTTATATATTTTTACATTTTCAGTCGGGCTGCATGATTAATTGGATATCGATTACTATCCCACAATTTAATGAAAAAGAAAAAAAATCAATGATTTGTGATACAGAAATTTAAAATGTGTGCTCGTCTCAGAAAAAAATCTCAACAAATAGAAAACTCCACTCACAGCATACAGCCAATGTCAGTAAAATCACTTAGTTTAGGATGTGGTAAAATGTACAGTCCAACACCTTGTTTCACTCTTTTCAAAGTAATTTTTGGCTTAACTGAGTGCGGAGACTAGAGGCCTCTCTGGGTACATATGCCTTGCCAGTGTTTACCGTGGACACTTAGTGTGAGGCGTTTAGGGAACATCAGTAAGTTGTAGGGCCCATCGATTAGCAAATGATCAGCAAATGGGGCATTTTGGGTCGAATTTTATTTATATTTCACCTCCAGGAGATGTATTGAATTCAGGTAAGGAAGACTCTTATGTTAAGTCTCATTTTGAAGCAAAGATTTTCGCATAATCAGGATGCGAGTAGGGCTATAACAATGATACATACTGGTGATCTCAAAACTGATCAAAAATAATTGGGATTAACACGTCATAATCGTGCAGCTCAAGGGGTCGAGTTACTTCATGTGTGCTTACAGCTGATAAAGGGACTCTTTGCCTGTTTGAATGTCTCCGCTACTCATGGTTGGGCTGTGTGCAGTAAGTGACAAGATGTCTTTTAAAATGTGGCCGTATGGGCTGTTTAGTGCTAAACTAGGCACATATTTTGTGGTTTTCGACTCAGTCAGCGTCCTAGGAGTCGGAAAGTCTGTTCGTCTGTCAATAAGGCAGAAAAAGAAGCAGTCACGCAAATGATCGGGCAATGAGACAGGAAGTTAGACAGGCAGTCAGCTACAGCAACATGAAGGGAATTGGAGCAGCAGAGAATAGAATTATATTTCCCTTCCAAGACATATGAGCCTCCAGCTAGATGAGCCCTGCCGTAATAACCAAGGCTAATCAATGTCTCTCTGCATATTATAGTTTCATCTCATCTGAAGGTCGTCAGAGAATTGCGGAGATTTTTCTAAATGTCATGTGGTTGAGCTTTCCTCGCAGTAAAGTAAATGTGAAAAGATCATTTGTCAACAAAGATACAAAGATATTAAAGGTGATAGCTGTGGCAAATTAACCACAGTTGCTTTCGGAAAGCTTTGAGACGGTTACAAATTTCTGGTTATGTTTCTGACACAGTTGCCATGGCACCTGGTCCTGACACCTGCTCGTGAAAATCATCAAAACAAACCAACCAAAGCTGCACGTTCCCGTCAAAGCGATAGGATGTGACTGCACAGTGGGCCTTGACGTGAAAGTAACCTCTTCCAAATGTCAGAGTACACTAAACCCATCAGAGTGGCTTCTTTGAACCCCCTGTGGGATGCGGCAGGGATCGAGGGTCACTGATGAAAGGGCACCATTAGACGAGTTGCGGGCACGTCGGCGAATCAAGGGGCCGACTTTGTCAGAGGGGTTGCCAAGGGGAAGTGGAGGACGAGGCAAGGGTAAGATGTACAGCAGGTGGGAGATAGAGGTCTGAAGGGTGAACGCTATTACCATACAAAACAAGCCGAGTCAGCAAGACTCCTAGGGCACAGGTACACATGGACCTTTATCGGCAAGGCTTGTCCACTGTGTGCACTCCGCCAGTAAGTTGTTTCTATGCGTTCAAAGCATAGAAAATACACCAATCTCTGACAGAGGAAAATCTGTACTGAGCATTTAAAAGTTGTCACGCACAACTGAATATCTGATAATAGTGTTTGTGGCTTGTTATTCATGAGAAAAGAGTGTCGTCCTTACTTAAGGGAGAGGGAGTAGTCGTTCTTGCTGGTCTCGCTGTTTCTCACAAGGTAGCTGGCCTCTTTACACAGCCTGAGCAGCGACTCTGCGTCTGTTCGGCTGATGGCTCCGTGGTACCAGCTGCAGTGAACAATAAGGGGTGAGGAAGAAGGAGGAACAAAAGGAAGGGTCAAACCTGCTCCGGAACACGAAACTAACAAAGCGGAGTATTTGAGATAAAATGCAGGTGTAATATGGCAACACCAAGATTCCACTCACAACTGGCTTTCCAGAGGCATGGTGGGGTCAATACGTTCCCCCAGAGAGGAGCTGCAGTGGTCCAGTGAAGTCATTTTAGTGTTGACCAGACAGCCACTGGAATGTCGCTGCAGTGGGCGAGTTTTCCCCTCCTTGGTGGGCGACATTCGAGACTTCTCTACACCATCAAACTGGACTGTAATGAAGGAAAACACAGCAAGAATGATTTTATTCTAAAATATCTGATATTTTAAATCCACTTACAGCTCTGAAAATATTACTGCACATCCTGCACACACGCACACTCAAGCTCAACATCAGGTTAAGGTCACTTGAAAAAGCTAGTGTGCTTAATTGGAAGTAGATACTTGTGCGTGAAACGGTGTCACATGTTATCTGCTGAACTGGATCAATGCAGCATGTGAGAACCCAAATCCAGGTTGTGCTTTTACTCTCTCACACACACACACACAGTCACTTTGTGCAACTCATCCAACTGAAGGACATGCACACACAGTGGAAGAGGCATAAATCAATCCTTTCCCACTGTGTACACATTCCAGTGAGAGAAAAAATACACACACATACAAACTTCCTCCAGCGACCACACGTGTCTGCAAATACACCCGTATACGCTGCAGTATGTGTGAGCATGCACGCTCTTTTGAGCACACACGAATGTACAAACAAGCACTCTGGGAAAATGTCACACATCCGTACGCACACGCACGAATCCCACGCACAAGTTCTGCAAGTCAAACATTAAACTGGCTTTTCAAACTCTCACGGTCAACTGTGGACACGACGAGCTGTCTTGGCAACGTTACAGGGAAGCGTTTGATCGTCTGTGTGTGTGGGGGGGGGCTTGAGGTGACCTGTGCTCATGATCTGACTGCTGGAGGTCACTGAGCATCTTCACAGCCAGTCGGCTGACAGAAAAGGTATTCAGGTTTATTTACAGCAGCGAACGTGAGAACAAAAGAGAAGATAATATTCACAAGGACGAATGAAAGCGAATTCTGGAAAGGGGGTTAAAGAGGGTGAAAGAATGAAAGGCTGGACAGTGGAGGTCGGCGAAGTGGTCATGTGCGGTGGTCATCTGTGTGTTTGTGTGTGTGTGTGTGTTTGTGTCTTTTAGCCATTTTCCCTCAGTCATCCATCACTATAATTGATGTCAAAACACCCCGAGCTTTGGAAGAAACTATTTAGAGCCACTGACACGCTTCTCAAGCAATAACAGAGGGGCGGCTTCCTACATCAACCGTATGACAAGCTTTAGCTGGAGATTGTTGGCTGCTTTACGGCTTAAGATCAACACATCAAAGCTGAGCCTGATGGAAGGGGTTAATGTAGTAGAAAAACTCGCATCCACGAGACGGCGTCCGTCTTTGCTGCTCTCCGTCACTAATGGCCAGTCTTGCATCCAGTGTTTAATTACTACAGGCTGAACATGGCAGGCGCTGTACAGACAGACAGGCACTGTGATCTTAACAACATGTCAATGGAGACGGACCTACATCCGTCTAGACTCTGCATTCCAGTCGGAGGATTGCATTACACGTTACAGTGTGTGAGCGCGCCAAGTAGCTCCCGTATCACGCTGAGCTGACGGGCTGACAGTTTCAATCAGTCAATTTAGGCTACAAGAGACAATGCCAAGTCAACAAATGTGAGGAAGCGTGAGGAAACAACTAAGTAGGTCTAAATGGGAGAGCATATGCCCCTCTTCCACTGTAAATGAAATAATGTATGCACATGGAAAGAATCAGTCGCGCTCTCATGCCAACTGGCAGTGAGATGATTTTGCAATTAGCATTATGGATTAACTAAGTATATTTACTTAAGTACTGTACTTAAGTTTTGCAGAGCAACCTAAAATGTGACTAATTTTCATCTTTTAGCTAATCTACGTATTTTTCACAGATTTATATTTTTTGTAATTCGTCTTTTAAATGTTTTTTTATTGATAATGTTGTCTTTTTTTAATTAGTATGCATAAATCTTCTGTTTATCTGTGTCTTTATAGGTAATAAGATGCATGTAGCTCCAAGTGTAAATAAACAAAGGTCCATAAAGTCCTCAGAACTTAGAGCTACTGTGACACTTCATATCTGAATTTAATTAAATACTTTCAGAATCAGATTTTACACACACAGCTTATAAAATGTAATAAAATGCTACAGGTTGAACAACTGGTTACTTGTAAAATTCACATAAAAGCAAAGACTGCAGAAACATCCAGAAACTTAATCCAAGTTTGTGTATCAGAGCTTTGCCTCCTCTTATTTCCAACCCAATTAATCATCTGATGACATCTAAGACATATGTTGTGAACTTTCAGAAGAGGCCACAGACCCCATTATTAAACAATCTAAACGCATGTTAAGTCATTAACGCAACAATACGTGAGCAGCACTTTACTAACGGGGTGCTAGATTTCTAATAATCTATGTATTAAAATATCTACAACAACTCTGGCTTTATTTTGGATGCAAGAAGAAATGTTTCTCTTAAAGGGATAGATGTGACCACTTCTCCCAACACTACCTGCGGTGGAACATGATCCAGCAGCAAGTGGCTGTGCATGCAGCTTGTTGTTGTTTCAGCTCCGACCACCAGGGGCTCCCCTTAACCTCCGCACTCAACTCCAGGTTGAACTCGCTGGCCTTGAGCTCACTGATGCGTTTCCCTAAACATAAACTCATGGAAATGATTATTCCCAATGACTCCGATTGTTATCTTGGCCTCTGCACTTTTGTTCGTTACTGGGCTACGGCTGAATCTTACAATGACAGCCAAATTGTACTGTTGCATGACAGCTGGGTAAATTGTGGGTCTAACCTCAGACCTGTGGAGAAGTATGAGCTGCAGCTCCATTTCCTTCCAGTCTGATGCCTGGGACTATAGGCAGCCAAATGATGCGCCATGTGTTGCATGTAAGTCCACATGAAAGACATTATTAGTTCTCTTTCATTTTTTTTTTTCCCCACACAGTCCATCTGAATCACATGCGGACTGCGGGGAATTCACTGCGAGATGGATGAACGTACAGTATATGTGTAAGGGTGAGAAATAGTGTTTCCATGGAAACTGACCAAGGGGACACAGGAGATGCATGTTTGCTCCATTCAGCCCCTGTCAGTGCTGACAGATCACAACATGAAGACGCAGCCAATTGCTCTCCCTCCTTTGCTTTCACTTTCTCTCTTCCTGTTTGCATATGTCTGGCCCTGCCTCCTCTTCTCTCGCTCACCTTCTCTTTTGATCTTTCTATCTCACACACACTCAGGCACCGTCTCTCTAACTCTCTCTGTCTTTTTTTTTCTTCTTCTACACGGTCTCTTGCTCGTCAGGGACAGAAAAAGAGAGTGGAAAATGGACTGTGGAGGAATGTCGCCACAAGAAAAGGAGATCTGTTATCGCCACTGTTTGTGGTTTTAATGGAGTACTAGGAGTTACTGATTATATTGGTTTTTACAGCAAAATTACAACAAAGTTACTCAGCAGCCGTCTTACATTTTATGTCCATATATGGATTGTACTTTTTTTTCATTCAAGAGTTTGAAGCATAAGAGGCTGGAAAAGGTGTCTGCTATTGAGGTGTAAAGATGGATGTTGACATCTTGGCTTTTCCCACAGATCCATCTCTGTATTGTATTGACAGCCCTCTCTGCCGTCAGACCGAACCTCAGCTCTTCACATCTCCTCCATTCTCCCCATGCTCACACTAATTCCTGCCCTTGCCCAGATCCAACAATCAGTGCTTTACTTGACCTTGATTAAACTTTTTTTTCCCCCACCTCAAAGAAAGGGTTGAGCAGCTATTCTCTGTGGAGCTCACCCTGTCAACCTTTCCTGTCAGAGCTTAGACTTCTCTGCAGGCATAGTGCACAGTCCTACAAGAAGAGTATAACCCCGAAGAAAGATCCTGCGAACTAAACAAAAGCCATCACTTTATTTGCTCAAGTGTGAATGAACCGATGTCCCCTCTGTTTGCCAGCCGTCTCACCAACACAAGCATCAAACTGTTGTAGAATTATTTTTTAAGGCTGAATATCAGCGGGAGTGAGGGAAACCAATTCCCCTTTCATTCTCCGGAGCGCGCAGTCCGAGGCATGGCCGACAGGAGATTGACGAGAGGATTGGCTCACGGGAGAACAAAAGCCCTGAGAGGCAGCTTAAGAGGGACGAGAGGGTGGAAACTCATGCACCCGCGCACACACACACACACACACACTCGCACGCGTGTCCTCACATAAACACACGAAAACACGTACGGAAATGTGCGGGGGCATCTGTGTGCGTTATCAGTATTGCTGCTTGTAAAGCACAGCAAATGGAATCTGTGTATCAGATTGAACTGTCAGTCAGATGGTGACTGATGGCTGAAAGACCTGTCCCCTTCAGACACATAGCTTCCTTCGGAGAGCGCTATAAAAAAAATAAAAATAACAAAAACCCCACAAAGGACGACGGGGAGGGACAGTTTGCGAGAGAGCGAGCTGATTGGTTGGAACACAGATAAGCATAAATGTCAAAAGGACATTTGCGTGATTAGACTGCAACCAATCCACCAGATAAAGCGCTGGAATGTAATACAGCACAGGAGGGCAAAGCTCAGCACAGTACAACGTAATGCCAGACGAAATGGAGTGGAACACTTACAGTAGCCATCTAGCATCACAGAAAATAAAGTTAAATAAAGAAACACTGCAAAATGGAATGGTAAACTCTTCATGCGTCGCAATATTCAAAATGCACAGTAAGAGAAATCTCTGACTAGGCTGAACAAACTGAATATTCCTCCTCCCTCTCCACAGACAGTCCTGCGCACATTTCTCTAATTGAGCTGGCTAATTAATTCTCATTTACTAATGATGCTCCTATCAAAAAGGATGACGAGTCTGAGGGGCGACGTGTGTCATTGACTGCTGTATTGTGAGGTGAAAATTAAGTTTCCAAGCTAGAATGTGTGAAATGATTAACAGGTCTGCATCTCATTAGAATGCACTGTGCAGCATGTTCTGAAACCACAGGAATGGGTAGCTTTAACACAAAAAAATAAATCTCTTACTTCTATGTTGACATTAATTATGTGCACCAGGAACCTATGCAATGATTTGTTGGATGGTTTTTAATAATATATTTTCCAAGCCCCACTGCTGCGGCTGAATCTGTAAGTTTAATCTCTGATGATTCCACCGTTTAGGAATATTCTCTCCTCTTTTCTATACATTTCAAAATGAAACACTAATTAGGTTTTCCAAGACAAAGGAATGACCCTCCAAAGTGTCAGTAAATGAATCGATTCAAAAATTAAATCTAGATATCTTTTAATGACTTCATTTTTTTCCCCTCGTCTCCTTAGATTAGAGGAAGGAGAAGGTAAGAGACACGCTTCAAAGTGTGGATAATTAATGCATGTCAAAAAAACAAAGGCAGAAAGCTCTTTATTATACTCAGACAAAAAAAAAGTGCTCCATTAATATGTAGATGTAATATCTGGCCTGTCAGTCTGTGTTTCAGTTGTAATAATAAGGTTGAGCTGATAATGTAGATTTACCTGAATTGTAACGGCTATTGTTTTTTCCCTGCTCAATATTAGAACAAATCACAATAGCCTGTTCAAACACACACAGATCCTGAGCTCTGTGCCCGCATATAACGGATGACTAAAGTCTTGGAGTGCGACTGAGGGTCTGCCTGTGTGTTGAGGTCAGGAGAGTGCGTTGTAACTGTATTCACAGGGGTTGAGGAGGCCATCAACCCCCCCTTGTGTCTGCCACGTCGACCTCTGACCCCAAAGATGTAGAGTGGGGCCATACTGGCTGAGACAGAGAGAGGATCACTTTACAACTGGACGCCAATCTTAAACCCACTCACATCACAGGGGGGAACCAGAACCTTTCCCATGGATTTATGGACATAAATCAACTCCTTGCCCTGTCCTCGCCTACAGCACACAGCGGTGTCCTCTTACATGGCCTCACTCTAAGTCTTCCCACTCTGCCAGGGGAAATCCCATTCCTGGCATTAGTTCTGCTACATGTCCTTCTTGTCCCTGGATAATTACAGCAGTCGGAGTATGTGCAAGGGCTTCAAAAATCAACTAATGGCTCTCCTGGTTAAAAATAGGTGAACTACTCATTCATTGTGTCCAGTATGATGGTAAATATAGCAATAAGTCAAGAGGCAAACTTCTGTTCAAATGAGTTGGTTATTTTTTTTTAGTTCATGTGAATCGCTTGTAGAGAACAGCAGGCCAGAGGGACATCTGGGATGGTTATGAGTATGTTGACAAGAGGAAATGGGGGTCACAGCGAACGGCAATTACGCATGCAGAAGGCAGTTCAGCACAATTAAAACTAATGAGCCTTCAGCCTAAAACCTGCACGAGAGTTAGTGATTTTCTGCCACATGTAATCCAGATGGAAAAGTGGAGTCATTACCGAGCTAATACCTAAAGTCATATTATTCAGTGCTTCTCAGAGATGAGAACTCTTTCAATAAGTCATCACTGAGTGGAAAATTTAAGACAAATATAATCATAATGTGCCCTCCCGAACAGATGCAGTGCTAGTTATTCTTTTTCAGATAATTCCCTGCTAGAAGTTCAGGACGAGCACAAAAATGGAATAAAGATATGCAATATGCCACACATGAATACTACACACATTCTTTGCTTTTCAATTTGCTCCTTGATGGAGTCACACATATGGATGAATGGATGGATGGATGGATGGATTAATGGATGGGTGGACTGACTGACGGACAGACGGACAGGGAGAGGTGGAGGTGGCGGGGTTATCGATGGGAAAGACGCTGGACAATGTGAACACCAACACCCACCATGGTGGTGCTGGTCACAGCTTGTCTGTCCCGGCGAGGGCTGAGCTGTCTGGGAAGGAGACTCTAGCTCCTCCACCGGGGGAGGGCTGGTGTTGAGTTGGCCGACAGGAGGAGGCCATGGTAGGTCCTTGATCACTTTAATCTCTACTGCAAGTGTCACCAGAGGAGAGATGGAGGGAAGGAGAGGACAGCAACAAGAGGCACAAATGGACAACGACAAAAGGGAGCGAGGAGAGGGACGTGATGACAGAAAACAGAAGAAAAGGGAGAAAAGGTAGAAGGAGTAAGTGAGAAATACTGTGGGTAGGAGAAGAAGATGCCAGCCTTGTGCCAGAGAGCTGGTCTTTTGCTGTGATCCAAGCATCAGCAGCAGCTGTGGACTAGAAAGGGGAGGAATACAACAAGACTGAAAAGGAAGTGAAGTTAGTTCTAGATGTTTGACTGTGTTTTGAAGCAGCTTCCACTTTGGTTAAAGTTCCGAGTTGAATGCACTGATTGTTGAGAGGGCATGAAAGTTACAAAAAAGGGATTTGAAAGGCTTTGTATAAGATAAGCAAGTTTAATACTGGACTTAAAATCACCAAGCCACTGTTATACCCAATTTGTTCAGCCTTTAGCACCCTGCCTTCTCCTTTCTGCTTCTATATTACCCCCCAAGAACCCAAGCCTGAGCAACTTCGGCTTCGCTTTGGAAGTGATGGACGAGAAACATGGTTCTGAGTTCTTACTGCATGATGTGGCAGGCCCAAATAATACAATGGACACAAGGATGTGCAGTAAAAGTGCAGACTATACAACAGAAAGAGGCCTTAAGCTAAGCTATAGACAGTCAGTGATAGAGTACAGCAGCATACACTCTGCTGTGTTGAGGCGAGTTTGAAAAAAAAAAAAAAGTTCTTAGGCATCTATATTAAGATAAACAACAATGTAGACAATATCTGTTGCTGGAATGTAGCTCAGAGTAATCCATCCCAGCAGTGGACACTAGTCATGCTCCTGCCCTTTAAATAATGTATGTCTGCTGTCCAGCCGGGACATTACTGGGCTAAATCGCGCACTCCAGCAGAGGCACATCTGTTTCTAACGTAGGGTGACTTGTTAAATAGCTGAGGATGCTCAATAAATGGGATGAAGAGGGGGATTGTTTTTTCTACATCCAAGAGAAAGCCTGTGTTACCAGCCAAGGCTAATAAATAAATGTGGTCCAGCAGTAATAGCTTTGGAAAACTACTCTGTGCTCCTCTGGAGGGTGTGTTATATATGACTCCATGACTGTGTGTTACATAGATCTCAAAATAGATCCTTCCAGCAACGCAGTTCACATCGCTATTAAGAGCACTCTAATGTCACTGTCCATGGTGCTGGAGATCTTACTACAGTGGGTGAAATTAGTTAAAAGAAAGTAAATTTAACGTGCTTTCATCAAGCCGGCCGATACTTTTGGCAGTCGGCGCTTTTCGACACGAATCCAGCAGCATCAAAACCAGTGACAGGTCTTTTAAGCTCCAACAAGAAGAAGCAGGAAAAACAAATCATGCAAGTCGCCCGTTAAATCATTCCCCAAACTCCCTCTCCTTTAGCAAATTCAAATGTATTCAGTGAATACGGCTGATTTGAAAGTATGAAATAACACTGGCAACAAACTCTCTCAGTTGTGCCTAACGCTTCTATCTATTGACGTGCTCTGAAATCATCCATCTCATCAGTCGTGTAAGAAAGACGATGGCCTTATTTGACCCAGGAAGGGTGTTAACAAATAGGGGGAGACTTCATTGGTTGATGGTAATCAGATAAATATACAGGTGCTCTTTGTGATATGTCAACGAGTGTGTGTGGTGCCAGCTATTTTTAAAAGATTGTTTCTATTTCAGCAGTCTGGGTTTGAGTTTTCGACTTTGCTGCTCTGGTCATGCACTGGTTATTATTAATGGCAGTAGAAAATGTTAATGACTTTAGGTTAAGATTATTAGACGGCAATTATTTGCAGTCGGTAACATTTCCAATCAAGACAGAGCAGTGCTTCCACCATAAATGTGTCACTGTCTTTTGTAGGCTGGTTTTCAGAGCGAGGATGAACATAATGTCATAGACTTGTCTGTCTTCCACCCTGCAAGGAATGGCAGTGGTACGGGACATGCTAATGAGAAGCAATATCTTGGAGCTAGATGAAGGGGGGGAAACTGGAGAATATTCAATCCGACAAGCAATTAAATAGCTGAGCCCGCGGTGTCAAGGGGCTAATCTCGAAAAAAGGTGGCTGGAAGGCGGAGCTGCTTGCTGTCTAACCTGATGGGAGAGGTGTGGGATGGAGACAGAAGGTCAAAAAACTCTGCGAGATAATATAACTTCCTCTACTTTGGGGTGAAGTAGGGGGACTCTCTTCCTATGAGATTAAAAGCCTAATACTCATTTCACATTGCAGATTAGCGTGTAATTGTTTGGGGAGCAGAAGGCTGCCTGCACTCTGCAGCTTCACTGTGGGGACGAGTAGATGATTTGGGTAAGCGTGGCTCAGACTCGCTTGGTTGCACAGCTGAATAATAACATTTAGCGCAGTGAAAATTAAGGAATTCAATAGCCAGGTGTGTGTTTGTTTTAAACTCTGCGTGCCTCACCATGCACTGCATTTAAAAGTGCTGCCAGTCCTTAAGGCAACACTCAATGCAATATTGCCGCAGAGATAAGTGCATCCTTACACTTTCTTTCAAATCCTGTGTCAAATTCAAATTCAGGGTTAAGGGAACAACAGCGATGGTGTATACATTAGAGCTGATTTACATACGGATCACAAGGCTTATCACATCGCAACCGACATTTTCCCATATCCGCCTCTGTCACGCTGCTCAACATAAACATATATATACACACAGTGTTGTATAAACCCGTTTAAAGCTACGTAGGCTGGTGCACATTTGGACCCATTATCAGCTGTGGGGGTGGCACATTGTTGTCGGTGGAAATAACAGGTTAAGTGTTGAAGAGACTGCACATGAATACCAGGTAGAAAATGTCAGTCGCTCTCACTATAATGCTGTATGCATGGGAGCACCGTCATCCTGGACGAGACCACTAATGTCATGATATAAATGTTTCATCATTGGGATAAAGGTGAGAGCGACTTTGTATTCATTTGCAGTGATTCTTTCCTCTACGGGGACAAGCTGACCCAAAGCGAAATCCCCCCACAACATAACAGAGCTACCACGTCCTCTTACTGAAGGAGTCAAGGGTTCACGTTGCTCCTTTAATTTATCGTCTTTCTATAGTTATTATACTTTCACACATTAGTAAGTCTTCTGATGCATGTTGGCATCCACTTATAAAATTCTCAAACAGAATTTTGAAGTACCATTACCCTATTTATTAGCAGCTGTGTTGGTATTTTTCTTTCTTGAATTAAAAGACAGACGTAATGAAGGAGCCAGATTTCTGAAGGAGCACGCACATACATCCAATCTTCTTTGGCATCTACTCTGATTGCATTTGGATCGATATGCCATTTCTCATTTGCATAATCCTCAATCCATATTAGCACACAACTTCTCCTGTTGACACTGGAAGGAAGGCTATCAATGATTCGGAATTGACGAGGCACCTGTTGCTCGAGTTAACTACACAAAAGTGGCCATGTTCAGAATTTGAATGGCAAAATCTGAAAACAGCTTCACGCATCCATCCATCGTCCTGCTTGCTTTGGGCATGTCGTTTATTATTTGCATCACATTTGTGTCGACAGCGTAGTTCATCAAAAGGACAAGAAAAAAACAGAATATTTAAACATGGACAAGAGTCCCTGTTTCTTTTCTTTTTTTTTTTAAACTCTGTTTTCCTTCCCTTTGTTCTTTCAGGAGCAGATCTATTTTTAAAACCAGGTATTTGTTTACTGAGGCTTTTCATTAGCCCATGGCACTTCATCACTGTAAACAGTGCAGCACCATAAATCACCAGCTATGCTTGTTTCCACCAACGCCATTTAATTTAGTTCTGCTTAATTTGGTTGGCTAATTGCATGCATATTCAAAACAAGCTGGAAGATTGTGATGTTTATGCCGCACATTATGAGCAGAAGAGCTCGGAAGACAAAACCTGGCTCTTCTGAAGACGTGTTTGTTCCATCGGCACTCAAATCATTACAGATAACAAGTGTGTAATGCTCCAGGGGAACTGAAATGCCACCTCATAATTCTCTGCATACTGTATCCATCACATTATACGGTCCGGCTCGCTTTCAAAGTACAGATCTGTTTTGAAAGACCACGTGTTTGGATTTAAAAAGAAAGCGGCATAGAAAATAGGTGACGGAGATGAGATGACAGCACGGCCTTTATTCCTGCTCTTCCATATAGAGAGAAAGGCACAGATGGGTTACTGACGGCCGGCCAGCGGGAGCTTCTGGGGGACTTGGTGGCGGAGCGCTGCTTCTATACTTTGTGAGGGAGCTCTACGGTGCTGTTGTGTGTGGCCAATGTGTGTGAGTGAAGATAAGACCCGTGGCAGCGCTCGGTGGAAGACAGCAGGACACATTTGAGGCTCATGAAAGAGGGCTGTCAGGAAGGTTATCAGCAGGGTGTTGAAGCAGAGGCCAGGAGGACAAGACAGAGCTGCAGAGTGACAGACAGCGCTGGGGGAAATCGGATCAGCCAGGCAGAAAGAAACAGAACCGTGGCACCCACAAAACAGCTGGCGTTAACCCTGGCGCAAGTCGCCAACGGAGGACTGTAACTGAATCAATTATTTATTTTAGGACATTAGACTTGAGTCTCAGATTTCTGGGTCGTTAAGCCCATGAAGATTCATTAAAAAACCATAAAGCTCCCCAAGACCTGAGGGACCAGGCGACAACGCTGTCTCTGATCTCCTGTGTTAAATGCGTGGTACCCTGCTGGCCAGGAGCCAAGGGAAAGGAGCTACAAGCAGGTAACAGAGGGCAAGGAGATTAGGTAACAATGGCTCTCGATCCCATTCCTGCTGTGACAAAGCTCAGATTTCCAGTGGCGGCGTGTCCACGTCTGGGCGTGTGAGTGAGGGTGCCACATGCAGAGCCACTGCACAGAGGCCGGCGGACATGCGGGCACGCCTTCTCCTGCCCTCACGCACTTCATCTGTGGTCAAATTCTAATGCGTCTTCCTCACTCTTCACCCCCCGC